CAGCTATGAAGCAGCAAAGCTGGAATTTGAACCTACATCTTCTGATTTGGCAGGCTGGACCCTTAACCACTGTGTAATGGTCTCCCTTAGCCTGTCTGCCCACCCACCCATCCATCCATCCATCCTCATAGCTGCCCACCACCCAGTCCCTTCATTCACCTGTCATTGTCCATCCCGGGGTCCATCCATCTATCCCTGTCATCCATCCATCCTAGAGGAAATGCAGTTGAACCCCTGGGGCCCTGAGAGGAGAGAAGTCCCCCCAGCTGCCCATCTGGTTGGGTGGATGGGTGGGTGGGCATCCCCCCTGGGCAGGGCTGTTGAGGTTGGAGAGAATTAGGCGAGCTCCTGCCAGGGCCATCTAATTAGGAACGCTGGCGATAAGCAGATAGCATCAGGGTGATTAGAATCCTTTTAAAAAGCCACTCCATTAATTAGACAGACAAAGGGGCCTCTGGCCGCCTAATCAGCCTCCATCAGTTCATCTGTGGAGGGTTTTCTGGGGCTGCTGTGTGACCTTGGGTGTGCCCTGCCCTCTCTGGGCTTGCTTCAGTATTGGACCAGGCTCTGCTGAGATCACCTGGTCATCTGAAGTCCTTTCTCTTCCCAGAGTCCTTCCTGAGATCAGGAACTTGGGACATCAGAGGCTAGGTTTATTCCCCAGAGAGGAGGAAGAGGAAGGAAAGGGCGTCACCATTCCACTAGTGAATGAGAACAGAGGCTTACAGAACATAAGTGGCCTAACAGCCAGAGAGTCAGGCGTGTAGGGTTGAGCTAACGCTCATGCTTGTGCACTCATTCTGCCCCTTTGTGACTAACCCTAACCCTAAACACTTTCGACTTTAAGACTTCACAGGACACTGGTTTAAAACTACAGAAAGGGAAGTCACCTTGGCACGCTGCTGTCCAGTTACAAGTCCTTTGTCTCTCTTCATGGCCCACCTTGGGGGTTTCCTTCAAGGTTTTTGACTATAAGAAGCTGAGATCTGCCACTATGAGGTATGCCCACGTCCTAAGTCCTACCTAGTGCTTTCTGTTCCCTGAGTAATCCCTGAGCCTAGTACGTAGTGTGGGGCTTCCATGTTGTCCCACTCAGAGTCACTTCATTTGGGGGCTTCAGATGAGGAAGGCAAGGAAGCTAATCCAGAACCCTCAGAGGCAGGAAGGTTCCTCTTGGGAGATGTCAGCAAGATGGGAGAGGAGCCTGGCTGAGGGTGGGGGTGACAGTGGGGTTCCTGGACACATTACCTTGGTTCCCTTGAACTTAATGCCATAACCACATGACTGCCCTGATCACATTGTCACAGAAATCTCAGATTTCACCAACACCTATTTGGGTATCAGCATTACTATAAACGTCCCCTTAAGCCTTCCTTCTCATCAGTTCCTATTGCCCATCACTAATTACCATCAGCAACACTGTTCCCACCTCTACCAGTGACACCTTCTACACTATTACTACCTCCACTGTCCCCATCATCATCACCAACTTCATCACCACCACTACCACTACAACCACGGCCTCCTCTATCACCACCTCTACTATTGCCTCCTCCATCATCATCACCATCACCACCTCCATTGCCACCACCATTGTTGCCACTGTTGCCATTTCCATCATCACCACCACCACCACCATCACCTTCTCCGTCATCACTAACACCATCATTACTACCTTTACCACCACGACCTCCTCCAACATTACCACCAAAATCATCATCACCATTACCATCACCACCACCACTGCCACCTCCATCACTGCCTCCTCCACCACCATCGCCTCCATCACCATCACCACCATCACTGCCTCCATCACTGCCTCCTCCATCACCATTGCCTCCATCACCACCACCACCATCACTGCCTCCTCTATCATTGCCTCCATCACCATCACCACCACCATCATCACTATCATTATCATTACCATCACCAGCATCTCTATCACCACCACTGCCTCTACCTCCACCATTACTATGGACCCCCTTTGACATCATCACCACCTCCATTATCACCATCACCGTGACCTTCATCATCACCGCCTTTACCATCATGACCATGATTCACCACCACAACCTCCATCATTATGTACCACCTCCACCTGTATCACAATTACCTCCAGCATCACCTTCTCCATCACTACTACCATTGCTACCACCTTTACCACCATCACCACCATCATCATTACCATCACCACCATCATACCATCATCACTATCATCACCACCATCACCATCATCACTTTCATCACTACCATCACAACTACCACCACCATTATCACTACCAGCACCACCATCACTACCACCATCATCACTACCATCACCACCATCATACCATCATCAGTATCATCACCACCACCATCATCACTACCATCACCCCCATCATACCATCATCACTACCATCACCACCACTACCACCACCATCATCACCACCATCACCATCACCACCTCCTTTATCACTTCTTCCAAAGTCATCATCACAACCACCATCACTCCCTCCATCATTACCACTACTATGACCACCATTACCATTACCACCACCACCACCACCATCATGACCATTTGCATCATCACCATCACCATCTCCTTTTTCATCACCATCTCCACACCTCCAACATATCTCCTTCATTACTACCACCCATTGCCCCACCTTGACCACCTAGAGTTTTCTCCCTTCCTCCACCCAGTAGTCTCATGGCTCTTCAGTGGTTGCTTTGGACTTGGAGAACCTTCCTGAAAGGTCTTCCCCACCCAGCAGATTACAGCCTTCACTGTGGGATTTGGGTAAATTCTGCCCACCATAAGCCAATAGAAGTTTGCAATGGCACCTGGTGCCCAGTGTCTCTGGCCCCTCTGCCATATGTCAGGGCAGAGCAGATCCTTTGCTGGGGCCCTACTGGGAGGCCAAGCCTGGCAGCACCTGCGGTATAGGTAGGTGAGGAGGGCACATACTGAGCGATAGTCATCATTGTGTGTGGAGTTGCACCGTAGCAAGTGGAGCTACACCAGAGCATCACAGTCATCACCACCATCCCCATGACCTCTGTCATCCAGCACCCATCATCATCACCTCCACAAGGAAGCTGATGCACCCACTTTACCTACAGCCTTCCCAGCAGCCTGGGTGAGCAGGTAAAGACTGGTGTGGGGGCATGGAGGCCTGTCCTGCTTTTGGTGAGATAAGAGTGGGTAATGTTGACAATCACTTGACATGTCTCCAAGATCTGCTGTTGAGACTTGGCCTATGAGTGCCAATCTGCTGTGCCTTACAAGCTACCTGAAACTGAGAGCCCAGGGGCACTGGAGGAGGAAAGAATGAAAGAGAGGATGAAGGAGATAAAGAAAGATTAAGAGCTCAGTGCTAAAACCACTGCTGCCTGGAAGAAGGGAGGAATGGGGAGAAAGAGGGTGAAGATAAGGGAGGAGGAGGGAGTGAGGAGGAGGGACAGGGGAGGAGGAAGAAGGGAGGAGGAAGAGGAGGGAAGAGAGGGAGGAAGGAAAAAGAAAGGGGGAGGGCGAAGAGGGAAGAGGAGGGAGAAGGAAGGAAGAGGGAGAGAGGCAAAGAAGGAAGAGAGGAGGGAGGAGAAAGGAGGGAGGAGAGGGGAGGAGAGAGGAGGAGGAAGAGGGGAGAAGAAAGGAAGGGAGGAGGAGGAAGGAGGAAGGCCACTTTAGCAAAGACCCTGCTTGAGCCCAGACCCTGTTATCGATGGGGAGTCTTTTCCACTGTAGTTGGCAGGATGAGGTGAGCCAAAGCAAGTGGCGTTAGCACTGTTGGTCACTGTCCTACACAGGACACACCACCAGAACAAGAGCCAAAGGACTACAGACCAGAAACACCTGGCTGCACCCAGGCCTGGCTGTGCTGCTCACCTTGAAGGATTCCAGGACTGTCAAGACAGCTGCGGGTGATCCCACAGAGGCCTCTCTTTCCCTCAGCTTCTGTTCAGTCTTTCCTTGTGGCTGTGTCCCTCAGGGTCTGGATCCTCCCTTTCACTCTGCCTTCTCTGCGGCTTCTCATGTGTCCTTAAGGCCCATAATGATCTAATTTCCTCATTTTTTTTTTAATGAGACCACATTTATTTTCGGAGATTAGGAGTTGGGGGCCACTGCTCAGCCCACTGCATTTCCTCACCTACACTTTATATCAATCTGTCCACCTGAGTCAAATAGATGCTTCTTTCCCTGGCTGGCCACACAGCTCAGATGGCCATGGGTTCCACTATCCCCCCTCACTGACTTGCTGGGTGACTTTGAGCCCTGACTGATTGTCTCTGAGCCTCATTCTTTTAACAAGTGTTTGCACTGTGGGCTGGCTCTGTCCCAGATGCTGACGAACGTGCCTACCTTCTGGATGCCTCTGAGAATTTAGATATGACAGGGCATGACAAGAATAAGTCATTCTCCCTTTCTACCCCGAGTTGCTTGGGGTCTCCTCAGCCCATCACAGCAACCCAGATTTGGCTCAGGGGACATATCCCAGGAAAGCCTGGCTCCTCTCACTGACCACTGCTACCACCATCAATACCACTGGCTCAGTCCCAGAGCTGACCCTGCCTCATTTCTTTGGCTTCAAGGAGACTCAGCAAACAGCTCTGGGGTGACCAAGCTCAAACTCTAAGCCTCCCACAGTGACCAGTCTCTCTGGCAGTCCTGTGATGTGTGGAGTCTGGCCTGGTGGGTGGGGGGAGGGCGTGGAGATCTGCTACGCCCAGGCTCTGATGTCACAAAGGACCCTGGTCCCAGCTTGGAAGAGGACACCTGGGCCTGGCCCAGAGTGGCACTGTCCCTATCCCCCACCCATCTTAGCAGAGGCTTCACCTGTCCCTGAGAGCTGAGAGGATGGAAAGCTAAACCTGCAGGCCAAGTCTCACCCACCGGAAGCCAGGAGAACCCAGCAAGGCCCCCACCCAAGGGAGTCCCCCCCCCAGCCACTGCCTTGGCCAGTCCATCACTCCTAGCAGGACTCAGCCTTCCTCAGTTCTGTCCAGTCCCCTCTGCCCTCACCATGGCCAACTACTACAAAGTGTTGGGTGTGCGGTCGAGTGCCTCCCCTGAGGACATCAAGAAGGCCTATCGCAAGCTGGCCTTGCGCTGGCACCCTGACAAGAACCCCAACAACAAGGAGGAGGCTGAGAAGAAGTTCAAGCAGGTGTCCGAGGCCTACGAGGTCCTGTCTGACTCTAAGAAGCGTTCTGTATATGACCATGCTGGCTGCGATGGCTGGCGGGCTGGAGGAGGTGGCAACATGCCCCACGGCAGCCCCTTTGGTGCTGGCTACCCCTTCCGCAACCCTGAGGACATCTTCCGAGAGTTCTTTGGTGGCCTGGACCCCTTCTCCTTTGATTTCTGGGACGCCCCGTTCAATGATCGTGGCTGGGTCCGTGGCTTGTGTGGGGCCTTCTCATCAGGCTTCGGTGAGTTCCCAGCCTTCATGGAAGCCTTTTCGTCCTTTGACAACCTGGGCCGAAGTGGGGGCAGTCGCACCACCTTCTCGTCCACCTCCTTTGGGGGCTCTGCTGCAGGCAGCTCAGGTTTCAAGTCAGTGATTTCATCCACGGAGATGGTGAACGGCCGCAAGGTGACCACCAAGCGCATTGTGGAGAATGGCCAGGAACGCGTGGAGGTGGAGGAGAACGGGCATCTCCGCTCAGTGACTGTCAATGGCAAAGAGCAGCTCAAACGAGTGGGCAGCAAGTGAGAGCTACCCGGCCTGGCCCTACGCTAGCCACCATCATGAAGGGCCATGGTAGTTGCAAGCTGATTGTTAATAAATATGCCTAGTGAGTTCATGCAAACACCTTGCCCAGCCTTGGGGGTGGAGTGCAGACTGCAAGTCTGTTGTGGCTGCTGCAGCTCCAGCAGACATACCTGGGAACTCCTGGTCTCCAGGCCCAGAACCAACCATTTCCCCCAGGAAGCCCAGGGCCAGGTCTGAGATGGTTTTCAGTCTCTGTGGTCTGCACCATGCTGTCACCCTCTTGTCCAACCTCACCTGTTCTTCCCGCTATCCCTTCTTCTTGAGGCCTAACTCCTAGCCCTTTCCACCTTTCCTTACCTGTTAAATGAGTGGCAGCAGCCCCGGACCTGGGTTCCCCACGTCTGCCTTGTCTGGCCTGCTTTCAACCTTACTTCTGCTCTGAGTGTAAAGAGGCAGCCTCCTCCCTACAACAAGGCCCTGGTGGTCTAACCTCTGTGGCCTCCCTGGCTTCAGCACCCCAGCCTCCCCCTGTGACCACCCATCACACTCTCCTTTGTAAACACTTCAGGGCCCCCAGGGTTCTTCCAAGTCCAGCTCTCCATGATGTGTGCTTATGTTTGGTCCTGGGGCTCTTGGTGTGGAGGTAGGGGGCAGCCTCACAAGCTGACCTCAGCTTGTCAGGGAAGCTTTCTCTCATCTGAGTGAAAGACTCCACCAAGGGGGCGTGAGCTCCACTGTGAGGGCAAAATGATGAGAAGGAGGTTGGAATCACCTGAGGCCTGTTGAATGCCAGGACTCTCTAAATAGGTGAGGTTTTATTTTGAAACAATCTCAAACCTAGGTGTTTTGGGGTTTTATTTTATTTTTCATGGACTCTGGACTTGGGGATGGGCTCATGAATTTTGAGTTACACGGTCCTGGAAGGCCCTTCTGAGGTGCTAACAGCTCAGGAAAAGTATTCTGAATGGTGGCAACAGCACATGCAAAGGCCCTGGGGCAGGAATGTGCCTGCTTTGTTTGAAGAACAGTGAAGAAGCCAGTGAGATGAATAGAAGCTGCTTTATATAATTCCCTCTGCTTTCTCACATTGGAAACTGAGGCAAAGGGAGGAGTCACATAACTGGCAAGCAGCTGAGCCATAGTCCATCTTGGGTATGTACGCTAAAGGGCTTTTCTTTAAACTGTATTCGTGGCAACTGTTACTGCAGCCAGAGCAAAGGCAGGTGTGCAAGGGAGAGTTCAGAGTACGACTGCTTACTAGTCAGTGCTTGCTCTCCAGGAGCAGGAATAAGAGCCAAGGACTCCACCCTTCAGGGTTCACATGGCTGGTAACAGAGTCTAGTTCCCAGGTGGGGACAGGGCTCAGGGAATGACAGAATCTTTGCTGTAGGAGCCAGATGGATGAGGACCTAATCAAACATTCAACTATAACTCCCACATGAGAGGGGCCCAGCCTGTGGTATGAAGAGAGAGGAGGTAGCTCACTATTCCAGGGACTATCAGGACCAAGAGAGATGCTCATAGGACAACCTCATAGGGATGAAGCACCAGGAGGCCTTAAGGGTGGGAGAAGAAAGCTTGGTTAACTGAGAGACCCAGGGAAGAGCTTGTCTCATTTCTCCACACAATGCTGTGAAAGGAGCCTTGGGAGGGAGTGCTGGGCATTGAGAGGAGGGCTCAGGGGGGCTTCTTCCTCTTCTAGCATCCGCAGAGTGCTACAAGTATCCTGGCCAGGAAGCCGCTGACCCTGAGGCCTGACTGGGGCTCTGGTACACTGGGACATGCCTCTGAGGTCCTTGGCCAGCTGGCAGCTGGAGCCTGCTTAACCACGTTACTGGTTAGGGCAAGGGAGCCAGGGCACACAGAAGGCAGAGCCCCAGCTCTCAGCCCTGCCTGGGGACTAACTACGTCAAAGTCCCCTAGGCACTAACCACCTGACCTCTGCCCCTGTCGACCTGCTAATGTTCTCAATCACTGGCCAGTTGCGACTGCCTCAAGTGGGCCTGCTGAGGACAGACAGCTGCTGGGGAAATTCAATTACAGCCCAGAATCCCTGAACAGCCACATGCCCTGGCTCGGTGCCAGAGGAAACCTGGGTGCTTGCCAGCCTCAGGGACCCCAGTACCCTAAGAATCTCAATGTCAAGGATTTCTGACCATACCATCTTCACACCCTGTATCCAGACCTCTTTCTCCAGCAGAGACTAGATGTGGCATTCCCAACCCTCCCTTGGGGCTGCCTTGGGTTCTCAACCCTGGGTTCCAACATAAACATCTTGACATTTTACAGATGGAGGAGGTGAGGCCCTAGAGGCTATGTGGATTGCTAGGATACCACTGGGTGGGGGAACACCCAGGAAAATAAAGTCAGATTCTTTAACTGGTACATCTCTACCTGCTTGGCATCACACTGTCCCCTCTGATGGACCACCCTCCCTGGAAGACATGGACAGCATCCGTGGTAGGCTTTTAACAGGAACCCTACCCTCAGGGTGCCCTTGCATGGGAAGCAGGGCCGTTAGCCTTCTTTCAGCCAATTAAAGTCTTCCTAGAAGGCCTACTCTGTGCCTTGTCAGTCTCAACAAGCCTCTTTGGGCAGGACATTCTGGCCAAGATAAATGCCCCCTTAGAGCCTTGCAGAGTCTCACCAGCACCTCTCTGAGAGGGACTCACCTTGAGACCAACCAAACATGGACCGTGCCCATTCTGTTCCATAGGGGTTTAGAGGCTGGGGACAGAACATAACTCGATCCTGCTGCCCCAGCCATTTCCCATCACACTTACCTGGACATGCCACCTGGGTATCCCACAGCCTCTTCTGTCCCTGCTTATTGCTATCACAGCGAGATGAGCCTGTGAAAATCTGAAAGTGGAAACCAAGGGCTTTGTGAAGTGCTCAGAATGGTACAAGCTATTGTCCTGATAGTGGCCCATAAGGCCATGCGTACCTACCCTGTGACCCTCTGGCTTCCTCCTGGCTCTGCTCAGGCCTCACAGGCCCCCTCACTGTCCACACAAGCACCTGGCACAATCCCACCTTCTTTCAGGATATTGCATAGGCTGAGCCCTCTACTACGGCCTCCTTCCTTCTAGGTCCTTTGTAGCCCTGCCTAGGTCCTCTCTCTGCTCCAGCCGTCTTTTCACCTTTAGGTTTTATACAAGTGGATCCTGTTGTTTGGACTACCCAGGCCAATCCAGCCAGCCAACTCTTCCAGTTCCTCTGGTCTCAGCTCCAAGGCCCCTTAGCCTGGAGAGACCTCAAGCTGGATAGCTGTTTTCTCAACCTTCTACTCCCAGATTGCTGCATCCTGCAGGGGCTCTGGTTGACCTAACTCTGCTGGGGAGAATGCAAAACACCAACTTGGTGATTATAGCATGTTTTACATGCAGGGTGCCAGTGCCTAGGCATTGAGGCCTGTGGGAGATGGGTCTACAACCTCTGCCCTGGGCATCTGACCACCCTGGGTCCCAGGCCTGGGCAGGTAGGGCTTTCTGAAGTTTCAAGGTCTGTATGGGCTAGAGGGGGCACAGAGAGCCCTTGGCTTTCTACTGATGCAAGAAATAAGTACAGATGATCACCCTGTTTTATAGACAGGGAAACTGAGGCTTCAGGGGCAAGAGACCCAGACAAGGTCTCCAGGTCACACAGTAAGTTGGTCTGTCCCCTGGTCCCCTCCCATGAGCTGGTGGGTGGGTGTGGCACAGGCAGCCTCCCCTCCCTACAGCCCTTGATGTTATCACAGCTGATTTAATTTCAAAGACGGATTGAGCCGTGGAGGGAGGGAGAGCTGCTATCGCAGGGCCATCTGCCCTGTTGTCATGGGGATGGGCTCCCTGGATTGTGCCGGACCCAGATAAGGGAGTGGGCTGAGGGGGTGTGGGCAGTGGGACTGCAGAGAGCCTGAGATCAGAGAAGAAGGGACAGGAGACAGAGATGGAGGGGCCCTAGCAGAATAGAGGGTTGAGCAAGCCTCAAGCAAGGCCAGTGGTTGCCACACAGGTGACAAGGGATCAGTGTGCCTTGTCTATCCACCTCCTTGCCCTACAGCCCTGCCAACCACTCAGTCAGACTGCCATGGGCTCAAAGGTTCTCCTGCTGGTTGGGGGGATTTCCTCTCTGCCCACTGTGGCAGGGTCATGGGTGGTGCCAGACTCCCCAGTCAGCCTCTCTGCTGACATGGGTTGACGTGCCTCTAGTGGTCCAGCTTAGCTGGGACACCAGTGGCTTCTCTCCAGCATCTCCCAGCACCCTCCATATGGCTTCTGGACAGTCGCATCATCGAAACTTGCCCAGTCAACAGTGACAATTCCTTGCTGCTGAGGGGTGGTGTCAAGCATCTACTATGTACCTTGTCTACCTGCCTCAAGTATCCCCGTATAGGTGGCCTTTGCACCTGTTCCACAGGATGGGGTTGTTAGACCTCTCCCAGCACAGGACTGGGGCAGAGAGCCCCAGAACTCAGGCAGCTTTGAGTGTCATCTCTGAGGGCAGGCAGCAAGCAAGCACAAGGGAAGGTGCTAGAAGGAAGAAGTTCTGCCTCAGTTCTACTCTCAAACTCAAGGCCTAGAACATTCCACTTTTATATATGCTCTTCTTTCATGGAAGCTGGAGTGGGCAGTGCCATCATTGAGTCCAGGACATCCTTTCTGCTGTCTGTGGCATCCCCCAGCTGTCACACCAGCCAGACCCACATGGCCCTCCCCCTTGGTCAACACTGCTGGGCTTGCCTGGAGCTGGTGGCTGCAGAGGTAAGCATGGCCTGTGGCTCTGTCCCAGCATCCCACTTATGGTATAACATGTCAACCTCCAAGAGTGAACTGTGTGGCAGGATATGCAGGCTGCACCAAGCACTGAAACCTCAGTGGCAGGCTCTGACCCGAATACCAGAACTGTACATGGACTGTTGATGTCTCCCAGGATGACCCCACAGGGCATTTTGGAATTCCAGCTAGTGCCCCAGCCTCCTCCCTAAGCTCCAGGCCACCAGCACCAAAGCTGTA